ATGTATGTAATATACCATGCTCATATGAACTAGTACTTCAAGCTCTTCCTAGCAGAGATAAGAAAAGAGGGAAGCCTAGGAATCTTACCACCCACCTCCTAATCTTTAGACCCTTGACTTGGCACCCAGGCCTAAAACCCTAGACCGCCTAGACTCAAAGCACCAGACCACATCCCCTTCTCACCTTCTCTCTTCCCCAAAGCTCATAAGCTCTGAAGGAGACAGAAAGGAGGATGGAAAAGAGCAGCTAAACAGACACAAGAAGAGAGGGTAGAATTTGGCAGCAGGTAGAAGGCATTTTGTCTGCACCTCTGGTTGTGAGTGCCTCTACCCTCCTGACCCATCAACAACCGAGTAAAGTTTCATATGTACAGATTACAAGTAGTCCTGGGTTAAAATGCGATCACACTTACTTTTAGCATCCTTTACATATCTGCTTGCACTTCGTTGGGTCTCTAAATATGTAAACTCATAAAATTATCATGCTTAACATATTTTAGAAATGTAAATGCTATAATAAAGAAAAAAAAGATAAGATATACCTGCTGGTAATATAAGCAGACATAAGCAGAGGCGGTAAACATGGTGGTTAAGGACACAGACTTTGGAGCCAGGCTGCCTGGGTTTAAATCCCAAGTCTGACAGCTTGCTGTATGTAAGTAACCAGGACCAAGAAACTTGGCTTCTCTGTAATAGTTTTCTCATCTGCAAAATGGAGATGATAGAGTTGTAAATTTTAAATAAGTTAATATGACTATAAATGCTTAGAATAATGTCTAATACATAGTTAGCTCTATATAAGTATTTGTTCATGTTAATATCATACCATGCCACCTTTCTGATATTATTTCTATGTTATTTTTATGTTTAGTTGGCTCAATCTGATTTATAGTCAGATTACATTTATACTATTATAACACCACCACCTTTAATGTATTTTAACTACTAGATAACAAATCCCACTCCTCAGTAGTTTTTAGAAGCAAAATACTTATTTTTTCTTTTTCCCAGGCCCAACACAGAGATACTTTCATTGAAGAGCGCTATGGAAAATATAACATCAGTGATCCTTTAATGGCTCTACAGAGAGATTTTGAAACACTGAAGGAGAAAAATGATGGTGAAAAGCAGCCGGTCTGCACAAACCCACTGTCTATTCTTAAGGTGGTGATGAAGCAATGCAAGAACATGCAGGAGCGCATGCTGTCCCAGCTGGCCGCTGCTGAGAGCAGGCACCGAAAGGTAGGTTCACCGCAGTTGATGTGTGCTCCATAAATCCTTGCAAAAACTTTATAAATAATGCCTGATACTTTCATGTTAGCTGTCAGTTTTCACGGTAATTCAATTAAGGTCTCTCATGGGTATCAAAAAGCCCCTTAGCTTACATAGGAGCCAGGAGATAGAAAAGAAAACACAGGTTATTCCAAATATTAAATTTAGGGAATGTGCCAGACACTTTATTTAAGATGGCATTCCTTTTTGATATGTCACTCCAAAACACTTGGTATGTTTTTTCAGCTCTTGATCATCCAAACTTTGGCAACAAACTGGGGTTTGGCCAAGCTTGTAGCTGAACGGAGCGTTCTCTATTTGCTTACTTAAGTGATAAATAGAAAGATTAACAGGTATTTGGGGAATGTTGTATCCCACAGAGAGAGAGAATTTACCTGACTATAAACACACAAGCCAATAGATTATTTTCATTTATTCCTAGTTTTGAGTTTCATTGCGTTTTATTACTCATGAAACCATAAACAGTCCCTAGAGTTGTTTACCTTAAAGCTGTTCTACCCTATTAGGAAAGAGAGAGAGAGAGAGAGAGTGTGTGCATGTGTGTGTGTTTGGTCTGTATCTGACAGCTCCTAGGTTAGGAAGGTAAACCTGGGCTTTCCTATACTTCATCTTACTGGAATTCTAGTGCTTGTGAATTTATTCCCCACCTTGTCGTTTACTGCTCAAATTTGGCCTGTAAAATATGCTTGGCTAGAATCTGTGTCTTTTAAAAACTATCAGTTTAAATTTATACCAACAAGGGAGATATCAGTACATTTGGGAGGAAATATTTTGAAAAATTGGGTTAGCAGCTGCAAAATTTGGTGGACCTTACTTCAATGGTTACCAGCATTAGAGCCATCTGCTTAAATCGCATCTGATAAATTGCCTAGACTCTGGGTGTTGTCTATGATCCTTTCTTTCCCTTCACAGAGTCCAAATGAAAGGCCAGATTGGAGCATCCTAACCGTGAATGGGCCTCAGATCTTCCATGACCCTCCAGAAAATACATAGAATGACAAAAGTTTATGCATTTTTGTAGACAATGCATTTTTCATAGATTTAATCAAATTCTCAGAGTTTCCCAAGACCCAGGAAAGATTAACCTCTGGTCTAGAATGAAGTAATCTGAAAACCTTTATGTTCCAATTTAAAAGGTGTCAATGGGCCTGACCTGGTGGCTCACACCTATAATCCTAGCACTTTGGGAGGCCGAGGTGGGAGGATCACTTGAGGCCAGGAGTTCGAGACCAGCCTGAGCAAACTCAAGACTCCATCTCTACAAAAAATAGAAAAATTAGCCGAGTGTGATGGTGTGCGCCTATAGTCCCCAGCTACTCAGAAGGCTGAGGCAGGAGGAATGCTTGAGCCCAGGAGTTTGAGGTTGCAGTGAGGTGTGATGATGCCACTGCACTCTGGCCCATGAGACAGAGCAATACCCTACCACAAAAAAATAAAATAAAAGGTGTCAATGGGTTGGAGTTAGTTGCCTAAATTTGGGGGGCTAAAAAAATCTTTACAATATCCTTGTTTGATAGACAGGCTTTATTTCCTTCATTTCCTTAATTACTTCATACATGAGGTAATTGAGGTGTGTTGAAGGGGCTGGCTAGCTTTCATGCTCATGAAAAGTGTAGTGTTGGGACAATTTGTGGCTCTACATGTTTGGAGAGAGGAATAAGTTAAAAGTAATTCAAAATGTCTTAATACTGTATTTCAATGTAAAATGTTTTAAGTGAGTATTAAATTTTTGAAACTCTGCTTATCTATTCTAAGTGGTTTGTCAAAGTAGAATACTGACTTTGTTAGAAATCAGACAGTACCAAGAAGCTTATAATTAGGGTGCTGCTCATAGTCCCAGTTTATGCCTATCACACTGGCATAGTTATTAACAATACCCACTTTGACTCTCAGAAATATTCTGGTTTAAACAGTAAATTACATGGTTACTCTGCTTATAATGAAAAATAGAGTTCTCTAGTCTACCTCTTCCCATTGCCCATTTTCCCCAATATTCAGAGGCAACCACTTTTATCTTTTAGCCATTTATTTTGGTAGATAACCTCCATATTTCTAAATAATATACTGTTCTCTCTTTATCAATTTTAGATGTTTATATTATTTTGATGGGTACAAATTTAATTATCTTACACTCCACCTCCCTTTCCTCTCCTTACCCCTTTCTATCTTTCCAAAACAAATTTCAGTCCTCTTTTCTCACCCCCATTCTCTATTATATCTGGTTTTCCCAAATCCTGAGCCTGTCACATTCTGTTTCTTCAGAGGATGAGCATCTGGCATATGCCTGGGCAGTAGATGGCCGGCTGCTAATATTCTGTGTGGAGTAATCAGGATGAGGAGACAAATAATTTTTCTGAAAATAGAGGCTCTGAGCCAGTCCTCCTGTTTTCTATCCTATATTTAACCTTTTGTCTGCAATACCTGCCACTTGCAGGTTCCATCTCTTTGGGGCCCCGCAGGGCAAAACAGCTTCTTCCCTCATACTGAAGGAGTTACCACTCCTCTGGCCTCGTTGCTTTTTCAAAATGTTATTAAAATTTCTTATCTGCTAAAGTGTCTCTCTCTATGGGTTTTTAGTCTTTTCATTCCATTTTTTTTCATTTTAGAGGGCTCTCAAAACAGAGAGGAGATGACTTATTACCTTTAGCCAAAAGTCTATCTTTCTATTAAATTGAAAAATTAGATTTTTTTTTTAAACCAGAAGTCCACCAAACCATTTTCTTGGATTGTTGTTTTGTTTTGTTTTAGAGACAGAGTTTTGCTCTATGGCCCAGGCTGGAGTACAATGGCAAGATCATAGCTCACTGTAACCTCCGACTCCTGGGCTTAAGCGATCCTCCTGCCTTAGAGGCCATCCAAGGTGGCTAGGAATACAGGGGCACCACTGCATGCGGCTCCTCTTTACTTTTAAAGGGGGATTTCATGTCCCAGAAAATTTTCTGTCTCCATTCATTAAAATTGTCAGTGAGGAGAAATAATGAGAAATGGCCACTGGGATGACAGTGCTCTGCCCTGGAGGTCTGGGCCAAGGCACCTTTAAAGCATGAGCAAAAGCTATTAAGGATTCCATTGCCATTCAGAATATTTTGCAATTCTAGGCAGAATTATGTGGGAAATGTCTCATTAAATTTGTATTCTCTTTAAAATTGGGCTTAATACTTTGGCACCGGGATAAGTGAAATAGAGGTAGGCAGGTTAATTAAAAGGCCTTGTGAGCTAGACACAATGGCTCGCTCATGCCTGTAATCTCAGCACTTTGGGAGGCCAAGGAGGGAGGATTGCTTGAGGCCAGGAATTTGAGACCAACCTGAGCAACATAGTGAGACTCCATTTCTGCAAATAATATAAAAAAATAGCCAGGCATGCTGGTGTGTGCCTCAGCAGGAGGCTGAGGCAGGAGGATCAGTTGAGCCCAGGAGTTTGCAGGACAACAGAGCAAGACTCTATCTCGAAAAAAGAAAAAAGGCCTGTGAGCCAGGCATCACTCCTGTAATCCCAGCTACTCAGGAGGCTGAGGCAAGAGGATCACTTGAGTCCAGGAGTTCAAGGCTACAATAAGCTATGATTGTACCACTTCAGCCTGGGCCACAGAGGAGACTCCATCCCTTTAAAAAAAAAGGGGAGGAAGGCGGCAGGGCCTTGTGAAAAATATCCATTTACGATCTCTATTATTGAGGCTTTTTACATGTAGGATGAAGTCAAGAGAGTCTTTTGGCCTCTTATATACCTATATAAAATGCATATTTTAATTAAACACAGCACAGTTAGGATGTGACCTATCTGAAATGTTTTATTCCAGGCTTCCCCTTTGGTGCCTTCCTGTAGTGATTTGAGCATTGAGAGGAGAACTTCAGCGTTCAGCTTTCCGTGATCCTGTCTTGTTCCTTTACCTACACTGGCCCCTAGTCGTACCAAACTGCCTGCAGTTTCCTGGACTTTTTATTAATTCTCTGAAACCTCCTCAACTCCTGCAGCTAATTAGTTGTTCTCTTCTGTTTACATACCATTCTGTACGTACTTCAAGTAAAGTAAATATGTAATTTTCTAGCACATAGCTTTCATGTCTTTCACTTTACCAGACAGTGTGCTTCTTGATGGCCATGGCTGGGTTTGTTTGTTCGTTTGATTGATTGACTGATTGATTGATTGATTGATTTAATCAATCTCTGAAACTATCTTAGGTACTTAGGCACTTAGTATTGGTTGTATTATAAGTGTGATTCCTTGCTATTTGGAAATGAATTTTTTAAAATTCTTTAAAGGTGATCCTAGACCTTGAGGAAGAAAGGCAAAGGCATGCACAGGATACAGCTGAAGGAGATGATGTCACCTACATGCTAGAAAAAGAAAGAGAGAGGCTGACTCAACAGGTAATTAAGGTGGAGGGATTCACAGCAGCATTTACCTAGAATAGCATTTCTCAGAGATTATTCTGTAGATGCTAATTGGTGTTGCTCAAAAAAAGGACTTTATGGCTAAATAAGTCTGAGAACTACTGGATTAAACAATTTAATCCAGTTTAAACAAAATTAAATAGGTTTCTAACTTTAAATCGGTTAGAATCTTCAGTATGCAAAAGTATATTGTGAGTCTTCAAGAACAAGACAGAGTATTCTGTGATTAGCAAATCTGTGTTTTCATAAAATCTTTTTTTGACACAGATCACTCACTCTGGGACTATTGTTCCATAGGATGCACTTTGGGGAATGCTAACTTAGAGCTGCAGCTCCCAAACTGTTTTTGACTTAGGACCACCAGTGAGAAATGCATTTTATGTCCCAGCCCAGTACATGTAGACACGTACACACATGCCTGAAACAAAATCTCACGAAATGATACATAACCCTTACTTCCTATAGTACACATTGATGTTTTCTACTTTATTTTATTTTTTTAATTCTGGTCATGGCTCACCAAGTTGGTTTCCCCATCCATTAATGGTTCTTGGCGTTTGGAAACCACTGACTAAAAGAATTCCGTCAGCTCTTCCCTCTAGCTCAGAGTCTCTGTGCCTTAAATAGGATTGAGAAGACAAGTAGAACAGACTACATTTGTGTAAAAAGTATGATTCAAATGCAACTATTTATGTTTGTTCTTAAAACCAGAGAAAATTATTACTGAAACTGCAAAGGGTTTTTTTCCCAGAGCATTTATCACAAAATCTGGTGTATATTGCTGTTATCTGTTTTGATTGATTCTAATGCTGTATACTTTCCACATACCTAAAATACAATGATACATCATATTCCCACTGATAATCCTGAGACAGTACAAGAGCTAGAAGTGTTTCCTACATCATCAAAGAAAGATTAAATCATAATGTGTGCATTTTTTGCATTAGGTATTCTAATACTTCAGAAATACTTGATCTAAGCACCATGGCATACATGTTAATCCTATATACCAGGGAACAGCTAAGCAGGACACTACTTGATCATAATTTTTCAGTGTATCTCTTTGTTTTCTTACTCTAATCGAGATGTGTGGTGGCATTTTTTTTTTTTAGTTGGAATTTGAAAAGTCCCAAGTGAAAAAGTTTGAAAAAGAACAGAAGAAGCTCTCTAGTCAGCTGGAAGAGGAGCGTTCCCGCCACAAGCAACTCTCATCCATGCTGGTGCTTGAGTGCAAGAAAGCCACTAGCAAGGCAGCTGAAGAGGGACAGAAAGCAGGAGAACTGAGCCTGAAATTGGAGAAGGAGAAGAGCCGGGTGAGTAAACTGGAGGAAGAGTTGGCCGCTGAGAGAAAGCGAGGCTTGCAGACTGAGGCCCAGGTGGAGAAGCAGTTGTCTGAGTTTGACATCGAAAGGGAACAACTGAGAGCAAAACTGAACCGAGAAGAGAACCGGACCAAAACTCTGAAAGAAGAAATGGAAAGTTTGAAAAAGATAGTGAAGGACCTAGAGGCTTCTCATCAGCATAGTAGCCCTGATGAGCAACTAAAGAAAACAGTAACCATGTCGAAGGGCACAGCGACTGAGCCTCTCATGCTAGTGTCTGTATTTTGCCAAACAGAGAGTTTTCAGGCAGAAAGAACCCACGGGAGCAACATAGCTAAGATGACAAACACTGGGCTGCCTGGCCCCACCACTCCTACTTCCTCTTATGCAAAAACCAATGGCCATTGTGAACCAGAGATACAAACTACCAGGGAGCTGATTGTGGGCAACAGTGTAGAAAACCAAGTGCCTCCACGGGAGAAATCTGTGGCATTGGTCCAAGAGAAACCAGTGGAGAATGGTGGGTGTCCTGTGGGAATTGAGACTACAGTCCCAATGCCCAGTCACCTCCCTTCCAGTGGGAGCTCACTGTCTCCCAGCAGCACAGCCTCTTCCTCTCTAACATCCTCTCCTTGCTCTTCACCAGTATTAACTAAGCGTTTATTGGGGTCATCAGCTAGCAGCCCCGGCTACCAGTCATCCTACCAAGTGGGGATCAACCAGCGGTTCCATGCAGCTCGGCACAAATTTCAGTCCCAAGCAGATCAGGACCAGCAAGCCAGTGGTCTACAGAGTCCTCCATCCAGGGACCTGTCCCCCACCCTCATAGACAACTCTGCCGCCAAGCAGCTGGCCCGAAACACAGTCACTCAGGTGCTCTCCAGATTTACTAGCCAACAAGGACCAATCAAGCCGGTCTCTCCCAACAGCTCTCCCTTTGGCACAGACTATCGAAATCTGGCCAACACTGCCACTCCAAGAGGTGACACCAGCCATTCACCTACTCCAGGGAAAGTGTCCAGTCCTCTGAGCCCCCTGTCTCCAGGAATCAAGTCCCCTACCATCCCCAGAGCTGAGAGAGGAAACCCTCCACCTATCCCACCCAAGAAACCTGGCCTCACCCCCTCTCCATCTGCTACCACTCCACTGACCAAAATTCATTCCCAAGCATCCTCTTTGACCACCACAGAAGACCTTGCCAGCAGCTGCTCTTCCAATGCTGTCGTAGCCAACGGCAAGGATGTTGAGATACTTTTGCCTACCAGCAGCTAGTCCCTAGGAGGGGGTCTCCACATTTGACATCCCATCAGATTTCATCCAAAAGCTCAGAGTCAGACTGTTGAGTCAGATTATGTTATTTATTTTGATAGTAGCTGAACCCATCTGTATAATACATTCAGCGTATTTCACCTTTTTGTATTTTTTTAAGTAGGAACTGAGTAGTTTGGATTTTTATGGCTCACATCTTTGTACTGAAGCTATAATAAAAGGGCACCTCAAAGACATCTTGAGCTCAGCAGTCACCATCATGTTGTGATGGAGAAAGCTAATTGAGTACCAGGTGGTGATTTGCTGTCTATTTTGGGACTAGAATCACTCAACACTCATTTTGAATTATGCAGAAGTGGTTCATGCAGATTTTTATTCCAGATGAATATGTTTTAAAAGTGCCTGATATATGACTGCCATATGAATGTGATTCTGCAGCGAAAACACAAAACGGATCATTTAATTGCAAAATGAGATCCTCTGTGAATTCTGAATGTTAAAAAACCAACACTGCTTTTAATCCTCTTTTACTGTTTTTAATGCAAGCTTTGTGTTCTGAAACAAGGCTGCATAAGTAGAATGGGAATCCTTCTAAAGGTGGGTGTGAACTCACCACAAAGCTGAGCTTTATAGAGCGCTTGAGAAACCCTCCTGAGCACTAAGCAGTTGGGGTGCTGATTTTCTTGTACTTTTGAAAAATTAAGTCACTCCAAGTTTCCTGCATAAAGTCTTGAATGAAATCACATCTCCATTTAAAAAATGTCGTTCAAGCATCTGCTGTCATGTACGGAACTTCTGATTCTGATTGCTATTACTTGAATAGGAAATGGTTATTCATTCTGTATAAAAGTTTTGCAACAGAATGAAATCTTTACTCTGTAATCAAAAAGCAATAACTTAAAATTCACTCTCTTTGTAATATTATAAGTCAGAATTATACACGTTTTACCAAATTGTTACATTTATTCTCCAAGCTGCCAGCACTTGGTGTCTGTATCTGTGGAACCAAATTAACTTTTGCCTAAATGGAAGTATACATATATCTGTATAGATACATACCCCTTTACATGTTTAATATACACACACTTACATAAATATTAGTGTAATGATATCTTTGATGTTTGCAATGTAGCATAAAGGACAAGTAGAATTGCACATTAAGATTACCTACCAATAAAAAAAAGAAAAAAACAAATAAGCTAACCTACCAGAAGCAACTAGATGTGGCTGGGACCCAATCAAAGGAGGAATTTTGTTCACAGGGAAATGGGGAAATTACAAGGTCTTCAATATCATAAAAGGACAGAGAGACTAACCCCATGTCACAAAATTCAACCTGAGTGAGTCATAAAAATAAGTGCAACAGGCCACTCGCTCAAGTGGTATAAAACAGCTGAGAGTAGTGGCAAACTGAAGTTCCCAAGCCCTATTTCAAAGGGGCACCTCACTGAATGTGGAGGCTCACCCCTGTAATCCCAGCACTGTGGGAGGCTGAGGTGGGAGGATTGCTTGGGAGCCCAGGAGTTTAAGACCAGCCTGGGCAACATAGCAAGACTCCATCTCTACAAAAAATTTAAAAATTACACTGGTGCGGTGGCGTGCACCTGTAGTCCCTAACTACTCGAGAGACTGAAGCAAGAAGATCACTTGAGCCCAGGAGTTCAAGGCTGCAATAAGCTATAATATGACACTACTGCACTCCAGCCTGGGTGACAGAGTGAGACCCTGTCTCTAAAAAATAATAAACAAAAGAGGCACCTCGTTCAATACCAGCTGTTTGCTGCTGTGAAGGATACTAGACCAAGGTTACCAGGTCTTCAAATTTTTATGAAATCCAAATTTTCATGAGAAACATTTTCATTTTTAAATATCAAGAACTGATTTTAAAAATGTTTGAACACTGCTGGTTAAACAAACACTTTTGCAGCTGGATTTACCTTGCAGGCTCCTAAGTTGAACCTCTTTCATTCTAGAAATTTGTCATTTCTGTAATAGCAAGTTCGTTTGGACAGAAACCCCCAGACTTTCCAACTATGTAGGTTAGTATAGCTGACAGAGTCCATAGAATATGATGATTATCCTCCTGTTCCAAACAGGACTGTCCACAACATAGCTCAGTGTATGATTTTTATGTCCACAAGGAAGGAGAAGTGTCCTCACATACATTCTCCTAGCCAGGGTCTATCCAGCAGCCTCTGACCTCCTGCTCTAATTTAAGTCTATTTCCTTTTAATCCGATATGAGTTGATGGGAAAAGGGGAAGTGTAAATCACAGTGGAGTACACTGGTGACCCCCACGGCTCGTGGTTTGATCAAGGCAAAGACATCAAAAATTCAAATGCTACTAATGCCCAGGACATCTACCAAAATGATGTAGGAGGTATTTTAAACTGTCCAAAGCAATCATACATTGAACTTTATTCCCATGCATAGCCAAAATGAACAGTGTTGATAAAACAGCTAACCTTTCAGGAGACGGGGCTACCGTGCCGGAGTGTTACCTCTCTTGCTTTAAATGGTAATCTTAAAAGGTGCATTGTGCTCTTCCTTTGTTTTGGGATAGATATATATAGAGAGAAAGAGAGATACTATAAGGAAGTTTATTTCTTAGGAAATGCACTGAATAACGTATTTCTTTTACAGTGTAATATGGGGGTGGGGATATGTAAAAGAAATGTGTATTTTTGCTAGTTGCCTATCTTCTGAGGTAAATAAGCACAATCCTGCAATGGATCCAATAATCCAGTTATTAATAGATATTATAGATTAGGATTTAAGTTTGCTGTAGATTGTGTGTGTGTGTGCTAAGTAAAAAATCCATGATTCACAATTTTGGTGTTAACCCATGTTGCAAAAGCTATGTTACTGGTCAACAGATTGTAATGATGTGCAACAATATAACACAAGCATTAATGAGTCATTAACATTTGTAAAGCCAAATATACCGTGCAGAAGTCTCCATACATTTTTATAGCAAACGACATTAAAACAAGTTAAATCATACTGTCTGAGGAAAAAACAGTCTTGTTTGTACAAAGTGAAAAATGTTGCACAATTTGGGCGTATTTTGTTGGGGAAGGAGTGGGCGGTGTAGAGGGAACACTTGATCATGGCTTTGAAAAACCATATGAAGTCAATGACCCGTGTAGATTAGACCCCATGAAGAACTAGGACATTGGTTTTCTTTAGGATCTTTGAGCTGGAAAAAGCCTTTACAATAATCCAGTCTGTAATTTTGATACCATTTGGTGGTTCTGGACCTTTTGAGAATCTTAGAAAAGGTATAGACTCTATCCCCAGAAAAATGGATATGCCTATATGCAAAATTTGGTTGATGGCTTCACAGGTCCAGAGACCCTGAAGCCGTCCATGACTCATGTGCTCCAGCTTAAGAAAGTCTGGTCTTGTCCTGCCCTCTCATTTTACCAGTGACTAACGCATCCCTTGTTTCCTAGTCCAGTGCTCTTGCAGCTGCACTTTAGCAAATGCTAGTTGTAGCCAGACAAAAGCACTTGGAAATCCTTTGAAGTACAAAAGATGTTCAAACAGTGTGGATGTTTACATAGCTTAAGCTTCCAGCATTTAAGCCAATTAATGATCATTTCAGCTAACACTGGCTATGTCCATTTTCCCATAACAGCCCGTCAGCAATGCTGCCTTGTCAGTTTGTTTGCACACGCACAGCTGCGTGTGTGCGCACGCATGTGTGTAAATTCATAAAGAGCACTTCTGATGGTTAGTCCTTGAAACAGAACTTCAAATGTCTTTTGAGATGTTGGCTTCAGAATAGGATGTGTTTTCCTAACAGTGAGTCAGAGGTGGGCGATGAACATAGAAGAGTAATACAAGAGTAATTTTTAATTTAGTTGCTATGAAACTAGCTAAGAAAACTTGAGAGCCTATCCACCCATCTACTTGCATGTGAGTGGCCAATTCTTTAGTAGAAGCAAAGGAGGAGAAAGGAGACGAGGGTATTGGTTCTCAAACTTTATTGTGCTTTAGTATGACCAGGGAAACCTGCTCAGAATCAGGATTCTTGGGGATTGGGCTGAGAGGTCTGGCTGATGCCAGTAGTCTGAGGCTCACATTTTGAGAAATAGTGCTTCATAGCCCTCACCTGTTCTTTCACAACTTGTTTGCATCTGACCCAAGGAGATGTCTTAAACTCCTGACACTGGTTTGCCAGAATATCATGATATTCAGAGTCGAGAGCGTGCCTGAGAACCAAACACCATGCTAATGATTTCACATACATATTACTTTACTAATACTCACGAGGGTGCTGTGAGAAAATACCATACCCAGGGTAGTTGAGGACCAGAAATTTGTACAAGGGCCCTGAGTAAGTGACAGCCAGGACTCAAACCCTAGAGCTTTTCTCTTTCACTTCCAGTGTTTCCCCAACGAGTACTCCCGGGGCGGGGCCTCCTGTTAAACATACAGATTCCCAGCCCCTCCCCTGGTGGTTCTGACTCAGTAGGACAAGGCGGGGCTCTAGATAAGCGCCTGGGGTGATTCTTAAGATAGAGGAAGTTTAGAAAATCCTCGAGGGAACCCTACTGCTCCACCACCACCCCAGGAGTAGATTATAAGACCCATTGCCAGGAGACCTTTATCAGGTCAGATAAACAGAACAAAAACAAAACATCCTTATTAATTCTCAAATAACATGTGTTTCTTAAGTATCTAAGATGAACCAGAAACCAAGCTGTTAAATAACTATTAAGGAAAATACAATAAACCTGTTCCCTGCCCTCAGAGTACTCACAATCTAGTTGGGGAAGCAAAACATTAACAACTAAATTATATAATGATTCCAGAGACATGTTTGATAGAATAATGCAAGTGAGTTTAAGAAACCATAGGGAGTTACTGAAGGTGGTCCCTGGCAAAAGCACTGTGGTAGCTCAGAGGTGACAAAGCTCTTTGTGGGCAGGAAAAAGTTAACTAGAAAAGGAATAAATGTCTTTTCTCCTCTCTCCAAAGCATTATGTACCTGAGTTTTGCAGTATCTTCCTGTGTTTGCTTTATGTTTTTCTTGGCTTGTCTTGACTCTAGGATGAGGTCAGTGACAGAGGCATAAGAAGCACCCAAGAGTTGAGTCCTGTTTCAGGGAGACTGACAGCCATGTGCGGTGTTTGAAAGGGTTGGGGCTGGTCTAAGAATGAGCTTTCAGGCCGCACACTCTGCAAAACATTCTCCGATAACTTGTAGGGAAAACCTAGGAACATGCAAAAGGCAGGTTAAAAAAGGACCTGCTTGCCAAAATACCACGTTACCCATAAATGTCCTCTCCTACCATTGCCCTTCTTGGCACCCTCTAAATCTCTATGAGCAAATGAGAAAAATGCAAATTAAGTTTTGAAAAGAATCAAATGAGCCTCTGGGACACTTGCAGGGGTGTTGCTTTTACACTGGAGGGGCACAGGGAGTATTATGTGGCTCAGTACACACCACTGGGAAATGGTTGGCTCTCAAAAATTACTGAGAAGTGTCCAAACAAGACTGGCTTTATCCTTGGGGAGTCGCCTACTTAATCTGCCTAGAATCCTACTCGCTGTAACTCAGTGTGGTGGACACCAGGATATGCCATGTAGGCAGCCCTTCAGGAACGAAGGATTTATTTCCCTAGGTTCAGGGAATGCGGACGATAAACGGCCCTCAGCTCTAACCCCTTATAGGAATTGCCTTAACTAAAAGAAAATAAACTTGACTAAGGTCACATCTCCTTCCATGGGCAACTCATACCCAAA